GTCGAATCTCATATGCTTGATTGTAGCCTTTATGCATTCATTCAGATCTATTTTACCCAACTAGCTTGTTTAGAGAAAATTGCTTTATGTTTGAAAATTGTAGGGAATTTTATACCTAATATGCATAGTGGCAAAATAATAGCAAATATATATAGAAAATGTCTGATACAAATTTATGTACGAAATTTTTTTTATGACCATACAAACCGTCTTCCTGACTAGAAATTTAACGGCATATGTTGTCGACGGCCATGCAAATTTAAAAAGAGGAGGTATTCGATTGAACTAATTGTGGAGTTTGGAATATAATATTTTCAGAGGTTAATTCAAATTATATTGGTATGTAACTAATACGATCACACATATTATAGTTATATGAAAATATTACAGTATATTATTATTTATAATTGATAAATTATTGTATTTTCACATAAAGCCCTCCCACTATGTGTAAAATTAATCAATCGAATGTAATCAAGGAATGTCAATGACAGAATATGTCAATATCATTAAATAATAAACAACCAACATATAATTAAACAATATAATTTTAAGACATTAAGTATGTAGGTACCGACTTTTCGATATAATTGAAGAGGTTGCTTAATATTGCTTATGATATATTTATCGACAATTTTGTTTAGATCAAATTATTTGCGATATCTTCGTTTGTTCTTCATATATTGTTTTTATCGTAATTGTGTAAAATTATTGAAACAATTTTAAGGCAATATTCTTCTTAACACAAGGATGTTAAAGATGATACGTACATAACTGCATTCCTCTAATAAATCTCATACCATCTCAGACGCAGACCTTTTCAGTACAACACTAGCATCACAGTAATGTTGTTATTAAAGAAGCAATTACCACGATGCCCTCGACCGTGACGACAGTATCACCAGGGCGTCATAAATTGTGCGGTATGTTATTGCACTCAGCATTGTAGGGGTCATCATAACAATTGTATTTTTTACTTTATGCGGTAACGTAGAATACGTAAGTTTGGCATAGCCTCGTTTTGTACCATAAATTAATCGCTACTTAGTATTGCCTATGTAGGTAATATAAAGCTAGATTTTTTTTACTAAAACAATGAAAGAACATACGATAATACAGGAAGTCCAACGTACTCAATTTTCGACAATCGAACACACATGTGCCTCAATTTTATACAAAAGTTTGTCGCTGAGTGTGTTACATATTTTTTTAAATTAATATTTTTATTCTTTTTTTCTTTCACCATTGATGTTTAAAAAGAGCCAACATTCATTTGTTTTTATTGTCATTGGCGTATAATAACAACTCGTTATGTCGTACTGCACTGCATTATCATATTAATTGTCGAATTTACATTACACCATTAGGTTATATCCATTTTGCTCAGATTGAATATTTAATATATAGAATTTAATAGTAATTCTATATAATTAAGTAATTATTAAATATTCTTTCTTTTACAAACTTACTTAATTATCTGTCCCTCTGCTGCTCAGAAGCACTCGTATTTAGACATTTTTGTAGTAAAAAAAAGTTGGAATGTAGTATTTTGATGGATTCCAATCGATCGTGACCTTTGTATGGATTGTTACCGTTACCACCGTCACCCATAAACAGTTGTCGCGATAATATCGTACTGTAACTAACATCGCGGTAATTAAATCAAGGTTGTACGCGCTTACATAACCGCTAAATGTGACGGTAACGGTAGGTTCGTCTGAAGCAACATAGCTAACGGTCTCACTAGCTCGGGTCGCCGCAGATTTGATGATTGACCACTTGGTCTGAAATCTTTATTACTCTCTAATATTATTTAAAATTACTGTTATAATGTACTTGATATCCATACTAGTATTATAATTACGAAATTGTGTATGTCTCTTTATTACTTTTTGTCGAGTAAACGGTGAATGGAATATTAATCAAATGAACATGAAGATGGATTGTATCACGAGGATGGACATAGGCTAACCTTTATAAAAAAAATGGAGACACAGTCGCGAGTAACATCTAGTATGGTCATAAATTTACAATAATTTAGTATTTAAAGATGTTAAATGTATATTTTATCAAATCCTAATTTTGGCAACGAGTCTTGTTACATGATTAAGTAAGCAGTGCATATGATGTTTTTGGCATATGTATATTACACAAGCTAAGTGTACAAAAACAAAACGAGTCAAATATGTTTGCCGACACGATTAAATCGTGATCGCCGTGTAGCAGTGTGTGGCTAAACAACGTAATAAACTATTTGTTTTTATTTATTTTGTAAGATGAGAGTGTAGTTTGCTCTGTATCCGGCTTTAAAAGTTACGTTAAGAGATTCTGTAGAAGACATTGAATGAAACTACGATTATTTAGTATTCTGATCTTTACTTAGTATCCATAGAGATACAGGATCAGTCGTAAAGGGTATAAGTTTAATAGACGAAGGCAGTGATAACATTAGTGAAATTTAAATTTTTCTCCAATTAGAAAACTATAAATTGTATGGCTATCTAATATTACAAATGCGAAAATCTGTCTGTCTGTTTGTTATCTTTTCACGATTAAACAGATGACCGAATCTTAATGAAATTTCATGTAAAATGAAGACTCCTGTATCATGAAGACGGGGATAAACTATATTTTATCTCAACAATATTATGGGAAAGGGGATTGAAACTTTGTGTATACAATTTGTACAAACTGTCATCCCGTATTTTCCCGTTATGAGATGTCGCGGGCAACAGCTAGTAATTTACAAAATCGTCACACAAACTGTAACCATATTCTATTTGTATAAAATGTCAATCAAGTCGATTTTCAGATTTCCACTCCGTTTCATGAAACATGAACAAACATGAAACTAATTCTTTTTAATGGCTACTGCACCTGGCTTTTAGCTTGGCATACCCTCTACGATTATACTGTATGTCAATATAAAAACAATGTTTCATTCAATAAGTATCCATGAACGGAAGAATCAAATTTAAACTGGCCATGGTGTAACATCCTATGATATATGGTAATGTATTTTTTGTGACACCATTCAAATGCCTTGTTGTGTTAATATTGTTATAATGTTTATATTTTTCGCCATATATCCTGGCTGTAATGTAATGTACCATAGGGTAACAAGGTTATAATAAAAAACAAAGAATCCGACAAATGCAAATTGTACCTACTCGCACTCCGAAATTAAAAATAGAGACTTTTATGAATAAAAGTAAATATTTTCAATTATTCATATTTATAGTACCGTGCCCTCAGAGTGCTAACACAATTTGCACTTGATGGATTATTAGTGCAGTGCCTAAAATTTATTAGCAATATCTTAAACTAGCTATATGTATTTTGCGATGCTGCCCGCATGGAATAGTCTATGTTACTCGTGGATGATGTAGATTTCTATAGGAAATACTATTTTATAAATCGACCAATTATACAAAAGAAATCTTTCCTTTTTATATTATTAGTAGGTACAGATAAAATAACAGAAGGACGGCTTCAAAACAAATCAGCTTATGACCGCTGTTATTTAAATTAAAAGACATCTTTCAAATTTCAACTTCATTAAGAATTTTAAGGTTTCTCAAAGAACGTATACCATTTATTGAATGGACATAATTGTACTTCCTAAAGTGTTAATTTGTGAAATACTTTGTTTTTTAAAATAATGCTTAATAGGTACTTAAATGTTCCATGAATATTTATGACGTTATGACGAATGATAATAATGATGATTGCTAGCAAGTATGTATTAAGAATACAACAACAAAGTTTGAGTACAATATTGTATGGTTGCAAGTTTCTATGGTCAAGTTTTATTTTTAAATATGTTCCCATAAATGAATCTGTGTTTTTTTAAATTACAACATCAATTATTGGTAATATAGCTAAATAAGTTTAAACACGATACATTTCATAGTAAATATTATTTAACGTAAAAGGATTCCTATTAAAACTCGTTTAACTATATTAATATTGTGTACTAATCGTGAAAGTTTAAAAATAAGTATACTATTAATACTGACACTTAATAGCAGATGATAACCCTAGCTCTGATCAACGCGTGATTTTTATACATCAACGTTAAATGAAAGTGGGAAATGTGACGGGAAATAATTGTTAATTATTGTGCAGTGATGTCGCGTTGGAAGTAACCTTATAGTAGTGTTTTTGCATCTTGTAATTTCCTTGTTAGACAATGACAGTGAATGCAAGTATATTTCTTTTTCTGAATTTCGAACGGCACAGAATCTGTCGGTCCACCCGATGGAAAGTGGTAACGGTAGTATTCATAAATGTGGGGTTCATTTCATGTCTTTTCTGAGGACTAAGTAGTTTGTTACATACATACTGCACCCATCAAACAGCTTACAAAGCAAGCTGCTGATATCAGCCGATTTTATTTAGATAAAATATAAACTATACAAAATTAATACGTTATAGTGTAAGAATTATAATGCAGTCACAATTACGCGAGATATATATAAACCAGCGGTGTTTACAATCATAAGGTGGCATACATAAACTGTGAATGGAAGACTGGTAGCATATAAATATAATATTTATTAAAAAAATTATGTGCATCAATATTAAATATTGCTGTAAAAGAAGAACAACTAACATCACTGCTTTAAAAAAGCAGTATAAATAATGTTAATATATGTATACAATGGTTGTGTACCTACTAATTACTTTCCAATATATTGCATGCTGTCGAATCGATGAACGGATACATTGTAAATGTCAAGGCAAATCCACCGAGCATGTCACTTTAAAGTAATACTTCGAAGTGAGACGTTATGCCTAATACAATAATGTGAAATTCTACACTGTTATTAACATAGTGGGTATTTCTTTGACAGCTCATACTGTTTTTGGAGTAGATTTGGTGGGAATCAAGTTCCAGATTTATGCTTATCATACTACATCGTTTTTTATTTTTAGTTTGGCTAATTCTATTCTTATTTAATATCTAGAAAAGATACAGTTAACCTATTAAATCTTACCTTTGCAATTGTTGTGTATCCTTTTAAAAGCTGAACGATCTGAAACAAAAAATAAAAGTGATAAGCACATAATAATTAAAAATATAAATAATTGTTCTTCTGCTGCAAATTGTACTTTGAAAAATACCAAAGGTAGAGATAGCTTTTATAATAGAGGCAAGCTTTAAAGAACTCTACGGGTGTCCCGCTGTGTATTTTGGTACTGTGTTTCAGATGGAAGGTGAGATATGGCAGTGGAATTACAAGTGTGGAGGTATAGCATCCTAGTTTCAGAATGGTAACAATTTCAGTTTATAGGCGACGGTTGTCACTTACCACCAGGTATATCAGATTATTTGGCGTTCTAGTTACATTAATAAAAAACAACATATATGCCTTTTTCTGACAAAATAACTAACAACATTTACGTCTGTTAATCCCATCAGTCTAAGATGTTGAATGTGTACAATGAAGTTTCCACCTTCATGTTTTGTATACTTTATATGTAAATTTAGACTACATTATCGTTACATTTAAAAATAATTTAACCACAATCTAATCTAAATTTACATACAGCATACTCTTTATCCCGGTAATACTTTCTTGTGGCATAATTCACAGTGCTCTTTTATTCGGATTTTATGTACTATCTCACGAAAGAGGCAATTAACGAATAAAAACGGAGGTATTATATAAATATCTTTTCTTTTATGTGATGCTTCAAGTAGTTTATGTGGCGGAGAGTAAAGGCTAGCAGCGGCGGACATTGCCGGGTCTGAGTAATCATAAAATGTAAATAGATTAGTATAACTTAGAAGTTCCTTATCTATGTACTAAGAGCAGAAACAGGTAACGTTATCGCGGGGTCGTTGAGCTTGATAAGTAAAGCTATTAGCACGAAAACTAGGCATGATGTACATTGTTACACGTACATAACTCCTGGCTTTCAAACGTTTTCAAAACAGAATGAGATTAAAGAAGCTTTTGTGGTCTTAAAATTATTAAAGAAAGAAATAAGTATTATAACATTAAATTTCGCATTAAGCGACAATATGTATACACAGTATTAGTGCCTTAACAAATATGTTGATTGATCAAAAAACGGTATTTTAACAGATAATATAAGACTTGTACAAAAGAACTTTAATTGTGACAACAATATTATGACATCAAGACGGATCCAACATGATGATATTATGTTATTGAAAAAAAAAGTATTCGATGCCGAATCTTAAAAAAAGAATAACCGAATTAATATGCCGTTTTAAAAAAAATACTGTTCGGACTTGGACTTTTTTAATCATTTTTATATGTGAAAATGTGACTAGTAGCAGTAATATCAAGTGATATTTAGCAAAATGCTTCACATTTCATGATATATACGAATTCGACAAATCAAATACTACAATAACGACATTTATTTAAAACTTTCTAATATAACCTACCATAGTGTTTCTTTGTTTATTTCTCTATGGTGTGTAATGGTGTGTTAGATAATCACGTTCGAAATAAAGTACCATTGTTTGTTAGTCTTTTTTGTTTTAACATCAGAGTAACGCGTCTTTTTGGCCATAACAAAAAGCCGGCAATACATTTTATGATTGCGCTATATGTTTTGAAGATATATTAAAAACATAGGTTATATTGTGATTGTTGTTGTATGAAACTTCTTTAGTATTTATTTTTATTTTTAATACCATACATCCATATAACTTGAATGTTCTTTCTGAAGCGATGGTATCGAATATGGCTAATGACAGTTTCTATGGGTTTATTATGGAAAATATATATAGTAAGATTGATACGACGCGTGAAAAATAAACAATTTTAAAATGTATATACCTAGTACCTAATGTAACAGGAATAAAGAAGTTCGCTGGTATATCATATCTTCTATACCTTGTAAAGAAGTTATTGACAATAGAATTTTATTAAATGTACATAAGTATTTTTTTCTGTTTAGTTATTATCATAGTGAATTTAGAGTGTCACAATCAATCATTGAAATCAATATCCTGTCGACCAGTTTCCTTTCTATCTTTATCCACGACATCATTTTCTATCATATAGATTTAATAATTTCACTCAAGTGCCTTACAAACTAAACTATTGAATTATAATATTAATTAAATTTATAAAAGAAGGTGGCTGAATTCTGTGTAGGTGTGTATATTTTAAAGGAAATCAACCTATATTAATGAAAATATATTTCAGCATTTGAATTATCTATTTTTTGAGATGAAATAAAGTAGAGTTATTAGTATTGTACACTTAAGGTAAAATAAATTCAATTTTGTGAACAATCTATTTCCTCCTTAAGAATGCATTATATCTCCATTGTGCGAAGTTGCCAGCAACTAATTACATAGAAATTCCACGGTTTCGTGTGGAACTTCAAAACTGTTCCCGTCGGATTAAAAACTACTATTCTTGGCAATAGTGGAAGCTACTGCGCAAAATAGAAATTGAATTATTTTTATTGAGTATTAATTATACTATCAATTAGTTTGGATAGAAGAACCGTTAACCTCTTTATATCCCGAAAATTTGAATACACTTATGAGTGTATTCAAATTTTCTGATTTCTTTACAAAAACTATAATAATATACTATATATCATAGGCAACTGTCGACGTTATAATAAATGCAATATATGACATTTATATAAATGCAATATAGCTGCCCTCTGCTTGGTCTTCAGTTAGAAATATAAAATTAACACAAAAGTTTATTTTGTGACCATATTTGAATCGTGTAAGTCGAGATAGTAAACAAATTAACGTTCTAAAATAATTATTAGTAGATGTCTTGATATTGGCAAACTTCTTAACATTCTCAAACACAATTTCACGTGAATATTTGCCACATAAAATTAATTACACGTTTGCCAAATATTGAAATAACACAAGCCAGATCAAAGCTATTAAACCTGTCCCAAAGTCAAACAAAGCGAACTTTATATTCCTAACAATAGTAGAATATGAGTAACATACAAAATAATTCACAGTAATAGTGAGCGCAATAATTAAGATTAGTATAATGTGTATTGCAATTATGTATGTGTCGAAATGTTATCTCCTCATTGAAGATAATAATGAAATAGGCAGTTAAACCAAATGTACGCTATTTTTATTATGGCTGCCCAGACCCACGCTTATGTTAGAGCGATATTATGAAATTCTCACAAACCGTGGTCACATTGTACAGATAGCATACAAATCGAGTTCGACTAACAAAAGATCCAGCAGGTTAAGCATACGAAAACTGCACTCGCATCTGATGAAGGGTTCTTACCTAATTTTATTGTTTTTCATGTAAAATAACTATACACTCAATCTCACACCTAACCTAAAAAGTAAGGCAAAAATAATGGGGGTCGGTTTCTTTTCAATACCAATTCTAGATATGTTCTTCAAACCATATATAACTATCGATAAACTAATAAAATTATTTTTATAATTTTTTTTACAGTGTTAGAAACTGTAAAAACTGAGAACTATATTTTTTGCGGCAGCTTTTAATACTAACCTCTAAAGTAATACCGAAAAAAATATCTATTTTGTTAATTAGTTAGCCATTACATGTTAAAGTTACAAAAGGGTCGAATTGGTGGAACATAGCATAAGAAAATAAATATCTAGTACGTCAGTAATAAAAATCACATATGTTAATCTTCACAACAAAAATAAGGTAAGAACCCTCCATCAGATGCGAGTGCATTTTTCATATGCTTAAGGATAATCATATGAAAAATGCACTATCACGCAACAAGTTTCGTCCTTATGAATCGGTATTATTTAGTAACGATAGTTTTATTATTTAATTATTATATATATATTCAAAATATATTTTTTTGGGGTCCGCGTAATATGTTTTCTTTTATAGGGAAGAAGCAGGATATGTGGAAACATCCTTTTGAATTTTTAGTACTGAAATGATACTAGTCTGATTATTTATTTCTGTTTCTTATAGTATGTCACGTTTGCTGTAACGTGTGTGTCAAAGTTAGATTAAAACAATCAATATATTAATATGATTAAATGATACATAGGTATGAATATTATCTTTATTAAATTTTGTATACAATAATACTGAATTAAATGACTAAATGAGATAACAACAGCCTGCCGACCGTACAAGAAATAACAATTGTTCTGTATATCTCGTACATGCAAGAACGTAGCTATCATGCTATCAAATGGTCCAAGGTTCGGTTCTCGGCACGCACAAATAACTCCGTACATTCCTTACCGTGTAATAGTATAGTCATTAAGATATAATTTGTGGTGCTTGCGACTAAAATCATACGTTAGGCGACTCGGTAATTGTACCTGTCTTTGTAGGTATAGGTTAGAATAATTTCAAATCATTGGCGCCTATAATATAAAATACGAATACATTTTACACTTCAAATGTATACAAAAAACAATTACTTTAATTATTATTACTTTATTTTAAGTTCAAAGTAACAAAATTATGTGAAGACATATCCACTCTTTCTCGTTTCTTTAATTTTAAGCTTATTATTTGGTTATAACCAAATAAACCAAATAATAAGCTTAAAATGGATGAATTTGAAAACCGAAATAATGAAGACAAAACTAATTCACCACCAATCTTAATCTAGAAATAATGTAAAGGGAAGGATACTGCTATTGAGTTGGATACTTCTAGTGATTCTATTCACTTTATTCCCTTAAATTTATATACTTAATCAAAATACTGTACACGTAACTATTTTCATGCCTTTTATGGCTCACGTAATTGGACAAAAAGCGCATAATCACTAAACCTACCTTATCTAATTCAAGGTCTAATTGTGCACTTCCTGCGTATAAATCTAGCTCTAAACAAGTCTAGACCGGTCTGGAACTAGACATAGGTGAAGGAACGTATAGTTACTTACATATAGAAATACCATGCTTAATTCATAGTTTTTCCTATGTCATCACCATCATAGGACTTGAATTTATAGGCTCATTATCATTCTCCATTACTTGGCTAATGGAAAATTGAAATATTTGTATATATACAGCAACATAGACTAGTTATTGAACTAG